TTTTTATTAGTTGGAGGCTAATTACTTTACATCATTACAGTAGTTTTTGTTATACATTGAAATGAATTAGCCATGGATTTACATGTATTCCCCATCCCAGTCCCCCCTCCCACCTCCCTCTCCACCCGATCCCTCTGGGTCTTCCCAGTGCACTAGCCCTGAGCTCTTGTCTCATGCATCCAACCTGGGCTGGTGATCTGTTTCACCCTTGAAATCATTTTATTTTTAATGTAATTGCATTGTGTCAGAGACCTTCTGTGGTTTCCACTGCACTCCTGCATATCTCCATCACAACCCAAAGCCTGCAAAATCAAGGCCCAGAAAGAACTGAGAGTTTTTATTCCCACCTAAGGCCCACCTCCCAAATTCTGACTTTATCTCAGGTCCCATACTGTAGGAATAAACACTGCAGGTTTCCATGTTTTCAAAGGAAAGACTTAAACTCTCTCACTGCAGCATAGCTTTCCCCTTTGGCCTCAAAAAGACAATCACAAAGCATAAATTTAATATACATGTAAAGGATGTTTCCATGTAAATTAGAAAAGAGGGTTACTTCATTATAACCTACTTAGCATCACTTATTATTACAACGTTTTCTTTTCTTTTTTATTTTATTCTGTAATTTGAGCTGACAGGTTTAGGAGAAAACCTGCAATAATGTCTACATCACAGTGATGTCTACCTCTCTTTCCTGCATCCTGGGTAATACCTCAAATCCAGTTTTTTTTTTTTTTTTTTAACCTAAATCAGTTTCCTTCCACATACCTACACAAAGTTCATCTTTCTGCTTCTTATGAATTTGCATGGACTTATGAGATATTACAAGTTTTTTATAAGAACTTCACTTTATACAACACAAAATGCATCTATTGTAATTCTATAGTTCAGTGATAATTTGAAATTTATAGACTTGTGTAACTATCACCAGAATCCATACTCCTTGTGTCCGTTTGCAGTCAATTCTCACTCCCACTGTCAACTCTAGGCAACCACTGATATGCTTTATATCGCTATAGAAATTCCTTTTCTAGAAATTTCATGTAAATGGGATCATGAAGTGTATGGTCTTTGTGTCTGGCTTTTTCACATAGTATAATGTTTCAGTGGTTCATTCCCATTGTTGCATGTATGGGTTGTCGGGCTCTGTTCTAATAGCTGACTAGTATCCTATGCATATACCACATTTTATTTATCCATTCTGTAGTCAGTTTTCTTGCTATTGAAATGATATTGCTATTCAGTTACAAGCCTTTGTATGCATCTGTTTTCATTTCTCTTGTATAGATACCTAGGAATAGAATGACTCAGGTTTTTTTTTTTTTCTGGTTTTCTTTTTTAAAAATTTTTTTCTTTTCTTTCTTTTTTTTAATAATTATTATTTTTTCATTTATTTTTATTAGTTGGAGGCTAATTACTTTACAATATTGTAGTGGTTTTTGTCATACATTTCCATGAATTAGCCATGGATTTACATGTATTCCCCATCCCGATCCCTCCTCCCACCTCCCTCTCGACGCGATCCCTTTGGCTCTTCCCAGTGCACTAGGTCCGAGCACTTGTCTCATGCATCCAACCTGGGCTGGTGATCTGTTTCACCCTAGATAAGATACATGTTTTGATGCTGTTCTTTTGAAACATCACACCCTCGCCTTCTCCCACAGAGTCCCATAGTCTGTTCTATGCATCTGTGTCTCTTTTTCTGTTTTGCATATAGTGTTATCGTTACCATCTTTCTAAATTCCATATATATGCATTAGTATACTGTATTGGTCTTTATCTTTCTGGCTTACTTCACTCTATATAATGGGCTCCAGTTTCATCCATCTCATTAGAACTCATTCAAATGAATTCTTTTTAATGGCTGAGTAATATTCCATTGTGTATATGTACCACAGCTTCCTTATCCATTCGTCTGCTGATGGGCATCTAGGTTGCTTCCATGTCCTGGCTATTATAAAC